ATTTTCTTAACAATTTTGTCTTTTGAACCTTCTGAGTAGAAACCTTCTATTTTGTCTTTTATATATCTAGATTCCAACTGTGCTCTGGACCACCAGTCTATATAAATATTCTGTGTCTCTAGCTCTTCTTTAGACAAATTCACCATCCTTTTTAAATAAATCTTGATTATCTTAAAAGTTTTGCTTTTGTCATGAGATTAGGTTGTGTAAAGGCCTCTATAGGTGATACCCATACAGGTGTTTTGTGATAAATTTGTTGTATAATCTTTCTCCACATTCCCAATAAAGCTCTTATCATATGTAAATTAAAATGCTTTTGCTCTTTATCCTTTTTATACCATAGATAAGCGTGCCAGCCTAGTTGTAAATCATGTCCCTTCAAGTTAAGCAATCTATCATTTTCCAAAGTTATCCATTCTTTTATCCAATCTAAAATACAAGATCTATAATACAGAACCCAATCTGGAAGACCAAAGCCAGCCCTCTGTTTGGCATCTTGCATTGCTTTAATTTTAATTCCTGGTTTTTTTACCTTGCCATACAAATCTCATAATTATCTTATTAAGCTCTTGGAAAAACGTCTGTTTTAATACGATAGGAATTGTTTGAAATAAGAATAAAATTTTTGGCAAGACACTCATTTTAATCGTCACAATCCTTCCCAACAACGATAATTGTAATTTATCCCATTTCTCCAAATTGTTCTGTATCTCCTTTATCAATTTCATATAATTGATCCCCCTTACCTCCTTGAGGGACACCTCTTTCAGGAGGGCCTTCTGGCTAGATCTCAGTTGCTGGATAGTTTTGTATGGAAAGAGGCGGTCCTTCAGGTATCCAGGGCTGAAGCCGTTCAGGGCTTTATATGTCAAATCAAGCAGTTTGAATTGGGCCCGGGCAACAACAGTTAGCTAGTATAACCTGGCCAGAATCAGCTGAATAGGGTCTCTCGTGGCTCTTCCACTCACCAGTCGTGCAACTTGATTCTGAACCAGTTTGAGTTCCCGGATCCTCTTCAAAGGCAGCCCCATGTACAGCACATTGCAGTAGTCTAAACGGGTTGTTACCAGTGCATATATGACTGTCATGAGGCTCCATTCATCC